GGGCTGCACCCCCAAAGTGCCCGGCCCCCCGCGAGGCAATCCCACAGGAGCAAGGGGGGGTCTGCGCTTCGCCAGCCCCCCGGCTCCGCAGAGCTCCCTGCCCGCGCGCTGCCGCCGCCTGCGGAAGGACGCTGTTGGAGGGTGCCCGGCCCCCTCGGCACGGACAGGGGCGAGCTGGTGGGAAGACTGTAACATGAAGTGTGGCAGAGCAGCTGGGTGAATACTCATTTTAATTTAAGATCCAACACTCACAAGTCAAACTACAAAGTGGTCCCTCTTGGGGTATTCGCAGAGTTTTTGGTTTAATCAAGCAAACTTCTAGAGGTCAAATTTCACCTTGGGTAAAAGCATATCATTAGACTTCCAAGATTTCTGGCGGAAAAAAATACAACTAGAACCTGTTTTCTCTCGAGAATTACACCATGATTTGATTACACTTTTTTTCCCTGACATGTAGCCCATTTTATTAACTTCTGCTTTGCTTTTAAAGGAGGCATCTACTGTTTTGCTTCCCTGAAGAAGCTCATAATGTTATAATTCAAGTGTCAAGACAGATTAGGTTAAACGTACTGTGTAATTCCCGAAGGAAAACAAACTTCAAAACATACTCTATTTGCCTTGTAACATGTCATGGATTGCATTAGAGTCGAACGGGTAATTCTGTCGCCTAATGTGTTAAAGTTGGCATGAGTTTTATTCTCTATGCAAGGTGAGAAATTACTTAGCTAACAAAACATTTCGTTTCCCCTCTTTGCGTTCTTTCTTTATGAGATTCTGAATGTGACATTTTCACAAAAAATCCCTGCACTTATTTGTGAAAAATGTATATTAAAACCAAAACACATCAAATGGAAAGAAATCACAGATGGTTTTATTCACAACCAGTAGAATTAATGGCCTTCTCTACTCTTTATAAATATTGGAAGCAGATGAGTTCATTACTATTTCGCTCTAATAAAGAAAACCTGCTTTATTTTGACAAGACATCTACTTATCTAGTGTTTCTACTGAATAATAAATCTATTTGCTTTGAAAAATAAAAGAGAGGTTGGGAATTGGCAGAAACCTACCTGGATGATTTGTCAATTAAATTAAAAAAAAAAAATCAAAAAAAATCTTCATTTCTGCTCACGAAAAGCTGGAATTCGAGCGATTTTGAAAATGTCACTAATTTTTGAAACAGAAAGTTTTGAAATGTTTACTTTGTGGTTGTCTTAAATTTTTACATGGTTCAACAAAGCAAGCACAAAAGTGAAAACATCTGAAAAGGCTTTTGAAAAGGAGAGAGTCAGCACAAGCTGGGGAGAGCTGCGGGCTCCTTTATCTTGGAGAGATCTGCACACATGGAGCAGAGTTTAGGGGCTTTTTCGGGCCTTTTTTTCCCTGCGCATTCAAACACTTCCCAGTTCAGAGCCCCGCGCCGTGGAGCTTGCCAGACCTTCAAAGTGCTGCTGGCAGCCTCGCCTGCAGTGGGATAAAACATCCGACCCTGGGGAGGCAAGAGCTGAGTCATTTTAACCCCAAACAATGCTCACTGATGTGGTCATCTTGTTAGTCATGGAAATCCTGTGTTATTTCTATTTATGCTTCTTTCAACACTTATTAGCCACGAAGTGAGAGGGTTTATATTAAACTGCAGAAGATGTTTATCCTCTCCAGGGCCACGACAACCAGCTACGTGGCTTATCAACCATTTCAGAGAGCCGTGCGAGAAAGGAAAAGATTTCGACAAATTCCCAGGGCAAGTTCGTTTCTAATGCTGCAGGAGGGGAAAAGCAAAAACCCCAAACCAAGCAAACAGCAAACCAAAACGGGCAAACCCCAAAAGCATGTGTCCAATGCTCCGCGGGCTTCGGGCTGGCTTTCCTTCTGACGCGCGCGCACGGGTTTCCGGATTTCGACAAAACGAGGGCTCTCCCGGGGTTCACGTTTGGGAGGCAGTCACATTTTTTAAAGACAAACTGCAGCTCTCAGTGGTCTGAGCATTAAACAGAGCAGAAGCTGGCCTTCCGCGTTCAAGTGCATTTATATTGCACGTGGTTAGAAAACATCAAACCCTCGAAGGACGGGCGAACTCCGCCGGCCGGGGGGTCTCACCTCGTAGCACCTGCTCCAGGCAGGGTCTCTGCAAGCGGCCTGCGAAGGAGCGCGTCAGAAAGCTGGTGACAACGTGGAAGGCGACTGACCCGAGCGCGTGCAGCGCTTGGTTCGTACGTACCGATTGGGTTTGTGGCACGTTTGTGCCGTTCACGGCAGAGCAAATTGTGCAGTTGCGTGTGTGCATGCGCGTGTCTGGGACTGCCAAGACTCAGATCCCCGCGGTGCAATGTGCATGGAGGAGAGCCAGCCACTTCCCTCCAGCCTGAGCCCCTTAAACAAGAACAGACCAAAACCTTCCCCGACGGTTCGGGGGAAGTCACGTCTGACCCACGCGTCGGAGCCCACGCTCTGCTCCGGTCATCCCGTGGCGGAGCCGGCAGCTGGTTGTTTCAATGACTCCTGCCCCGGTCCCTCCGCGCTGGACGAGCGGAGACAGCCACCCCCACGCGGGGAGGGGACAGCGTTCGGCGAGCAGAGATTTACGCGGGAAAATGGCTCCTGGGCCGGCAACAAAAGCTTGCCCGTGGCTCCTGCTGGCAAGTAGCAGGGCGGCACCGGGCACCGCGCTCCCACCTGTGGCTTCCTCCTCCGTGGAAACCCGTGGAGGCCGGGTTTCTTAACGAAGCGACCTGTGGTATTGGCTACGTGAACAGCGCGGGGCAGTCACAGCCGGCCCACGAGCCGCCCCGTCCTGCATCAGGCACGGCACAGAGGTGGCCCGTCCTGCTGAGCTGGTCCGTGCGGGCAGGCAGAGACCCGGTGTCTCAGCTGCTCCTCGCCGGGGCACGGACTGGGCAAAGCGCAGCCGCGGGGCACGGGGCTTCCCTGGGAGCCACAGGACCCCCAGACTAGGCTGGCCGGCCTTGCTGCCCTTGGCCAGGGAGGGGGACACAGAGCACCGGGGCTTTTCTCTTGGCTGTCAGAGGAGCCGGCTCACGCCAGCCCGCCGGCCTGTGCCCATGCCCATGCCCACGGGGACGCCACAGCCCGGGCATGCTCCCCGCCGAGCCCCCGCTCCTGCGGGCCAGGGGCTGGGCGCAAGCACTCACCCGCTGTCCGGCTTCACCTGCTTGGCCCTCCTCTGCGGGTGGTGCTGGGACCCCCGTGCTGACGGGCCCAGGACCGCGCCGTCCAGCACCAGGGCTGCCCCTCCAGCCACCGCCGGGCCACGCTGCTTCTCCTCCCCGAGCAGGAGCTCCCGCTGCCAGCTCGCTAGCGCCGGCGGGCCCGTGGCCTCACGCGAGGCAGCTCGCCCTCGTCACGTTTCCAGCAGAGGAAAACCGAGCGAGCTCTGGTCACGGTTAAGGACGAGCTCGAGACGGGACCAGGGCGCTAGCCCATGCCACGCACGTTTCTCCGGACGCGGCCCAGCAGGGCTCTGCGACGGGGCTTCCCCGGCCCCCACAGCCGGCAACGTCCACGGGCGCCCACCGGCGTTGCCGATCGCCAGGCGCCAGCACCTCCCGCTCCGGCTCAGGCCCACGCCAGCCACGTCCCTCCGGTGCCGTTAAAACGTTTCTCGCCGGCGGCTGCCAACAGCCAGAGCAGGGCAGCTCCACTCTGCTCGGGGGAGGAGGCTCTGGACCGTAAAACAGGGCACCTTCCCTGTAACTCACACCTCCCCTTTAACAGCCTCTCTTAAAACGGGGCTGTAGTTCAGAGTTAATTATAAAGCCCTGTTTATTTCTGCAGAATCCCAGTTTATAATATTGGTACAAGAGAGGTTTTAGAGGCCCC